TATATATATATAAACGTCTATATATATATATATATATATATATATATATATATATAGTACTCGAATATTGCAAGAAGGTTTTTTAAACTGCCCACTTTATTTTTTTATACACAATCGGATGTCATTACTTACTGGAGTTGCAACTATGCAGTTGTATAAAGCCATAATGTTGGAGTTTCTATCACTCATTCCTGTGTACCTGATGGAAGTTGCATGTTCATGTTTAAGCAGTTACTGTAATAAGAAATTTAAAGTTAATTATATCAGTTCCCTAATGCTTCATGATAGGCAACTTTACCCATTTTGAATGCCTTAATTTAATTGTTTTCAAAGTTTCGGCCCTTTCTGTATTTAAAAAAAAAAAAAAAAAAAGTGTTTACCAGCTTTTAGGATCAAACTAGCTTTGTGGAAGAGAAATCATGCACTATTTTTACACATAGTTATATCAATGTCAGCCTATTTTGATTAACAAATTTTTTAAAGTATTATTGGTTATAGAAACTAATGGATGGTGTTGAAACTAATATATCCTTGACGTCTATTATTCATTCAACAGTTTTTACAGACTTCAGTATTAGTCTGTGACTACAAAATATTTTCTTTGCTTTAAATTTGCTGGCTACCCTAGATGTGTTTTTATTCCTAGTAAAGACATTTGTGATTACATTTTCACACTTAAGATTCAAACATTTTTCCAAATATAAGGAAAACTAAGACATACTGTAGATACATTTAAAATATGATAATATGATCCTCAGACATACAACTGTGTGTGGCAGTATTTTAGCACTGGGTTAAGAAAACTGGTAACTGGGAAGAAGTGGCCTCAAAGGCCCTTAATTTGATTTTATTTTTAAAATGCTGTCACAGTTAGTTTATGCAGGACCATTCTTGCTATATTCTCGTGATCCCAGATAAGTATATGTTTTATACTGCAACAGTATGCAGCAATGGTGAGCATCAAGTTTTTGGTTTTTTTTTTTTTAAATTATGAAGTCTTTTATCAGTCTTTCTTTATATAAATACACACAGAGTTTAGTATGATATTGAAATACATTGGTTGGGCGCGGTGGCTCACACCTATAATCCCAGCACTTTGGGAGGCTGAGGCGGGCAGATCACCTGAGGTCAGGAGTTCAAGACCAGCCTGGCCAACAGGATGAAACCCTGTCTCTACTAAAATACAAAAATTAGCTGGGCATGATGGTTGGTGCCTGTAATCCCAGCTACTTGGGAGGCTGAGACGAGAGAATCGCTTGAACCTGGGAGATGGTAGTTGCAATAAGCCAAGATCACACCACTGCACTCCAGCCTGGGCAACTGAGTGAGCCTCTATCTCAGAAAATAATAATAATAATTAATATTTCAATGAAGGAAGTAGACATTTTTCATTGATTCTCTCTGAGGTCAATTAGAGATGTTTGAAGAGTTAGATCCCCATGACTGATACTATTGTGGAGACTGAAGAGCAGCCGCTGGCCTACTGATATCCTGAAACTGATTTTGTGTTCTTGAGTTCTCCAGTCTGCGCTCTGATGCTGTCTGTGCTCAGACTGGATGTGCATGCCGTCTCCCTCGCAGCTGTGTTCTGCAGCTCTGGCTTTGGGGGACAGCTTTTTTTTAAGTAAGATTAAAAAATGAAAAATATATAAAATTTATATAGAATAAATATTTCCATTCATTAGAATTGTTAAAAGGAGACTGAATTAATATTTTATATAAAGATTTTGTTACATTATGGAAGGCTCTATCCTATTCTGAATTGGAGAGTATATATATATATATATATTTTTAATAAACTTTATTAAGGTGAAATAATTTCAAGTTTACACGAGTAACTGAAATATTTGAGTAAAAAAGGCAAAAGTTAAATTTCGGATGCTGTATATATTAGAGAATATGGGGAATCATGGTGTGACCAACTGTACAAGGAAGATTCATGTGAAGGTCTTGATGAAAAAGATAATTCCGAAGGGTGAAAAAAAAATCTCTCCCATGGAGATTCTTCACATTATATGGTTCGACATAAGGGTTTATAAGGTTGTTTGTCCAACTAATGAAAATGCGCTTAATAAAACATTCTCACCTTGGGTAAGAATTCGCTTTTTACCGCATTGCCGCTTTCATGTACATACATGAATGCATGCACCTATCAACGTGTTTTCTTTCCAACACTCATTAAATACGAAACAACCTGATTTTGTGCTCGTTTCTCTTTTTTCTTGAGGCCCTAAAGCTTCCAGGATAAATATTTGTAAGACTAAAATTTGCTTGTTTCTTCACACCTGACTTCTCCTAGAGCCATAAATACCTCCTATGGGGAACTAAGAAATCATGAATACTGGGATTTTCTTGATTGTATTTTTTACTTTGGTCTTGTGGGGATAACGAGACAGAAGTGAACGGGAAACTGGTGCCGGTATTACTATTGAAATTAATGTATAGTGTTTTTAAAGTATTAATTTAAATAAACCATGTTCTCTAGAAACAAGTTTTTAAAATCTATATGAAAGTTTTAAAATGTTCTAGCTAACTAATGGATAAGCACACCAGTAAAGCCAAAATAAAGGTTAGTGCTTTTAAAACTAACCTGTGTTAGAGTTACAGGAATCTGGCTCTAAAGTATCTGTTTTGCATCCATTTATCTATAGATCCTAAACAGAAGTACTCTAGGTGGCCACACCACAGTTTAAGAAGTCATGTTGCTGCTGTTATTCTCTTCCAGGATTCTGGTGATAAAGTCGAGAAACTCGGACACTATATTAACCTTATTGAAACATGCTCTAAATTGTGTCTAAAATCTGATTTGAGCAAGTCACTACTGAGTTTCTCAGTCTGCATTGACACTGCTGCTGACTCACCTCTCCTTCCCTGGAATAAGGCTTCAGCTTCCCTGTGTTGTGAAGACACCATTTGTAAGCACTTTGAATATAAGCACTATGTGACAGCGCTGGATGTTATGCTTGGGGAGCCTCTCCCTGATTCCCATCCCCATAATAATGAATTTTGTTTGGAACTGTAATAAGTCACGAGCTGCATGGTTTAGGAAATCATAAATATTTGATCAGCTATCCCCTTTGAACAAAAATTGCACCCCCTTTTTTTTTTAATGTTATTGCATCTTTGTAGTAATGTGATTGTATTGTATGCTTGCTTTTTATAAAATAAAAGAAATGGAGACATAAGCATTTTCATACTTTTCCTATGAAATGCAGTCCTGGAATACAGCAACCTTATAAAGTTTACCTAAAACATTTGCTTTCCCTATAAGATGGGTATAAACGACAGGATGAGGATAGTAAATAAGTCTTACAACTAAGGCTGCAGACTTGTGATTCTTCTGCCCTATCATTTAATTCATGGAGAAATGCCAAACTGCAGCCAGGAGCGTGTCTCTGATTTGATTTGGGTGTTTTAAGAGGCACACAAACATAACAAACTCGTTTGAATTGGTGAGGACGGGGGAAAAGAGGGAGGGTATCTGTTCGTCAGGAAATAGTGTGCTGATAGGTGGTTTTCTAGAAAGTGTTTGGCAATCAGGAGAACCTTTTCTAGAGCACTTACTTGCTATGTGATCTTAGGCAGGTTATTCATTCCGAGCCTCAGTGGTTTTATCTGTAAAATGGAGATTGTGTCTCTCTTACGGGATCACCAACAGATTAAGAATGATAATGTGTGTAAAATGTCTGAAGTGACTCGAGTGTTTGTTACCTTACAAAGGGGGAAAAACAGACCTCGTCACCTAAGTCGGCTTTTAGCTTTTTTAAGCAATGATGAAGTACTAATGTTAGCTAAATAAAACGTGTTGGAATAAAAAAATCATAATTTGTATTGATGCTAATGGTCAGATTATAACTGCAAATGAAAAACAATTAACTTGGATGTTTAAAAATATGACATCTGTAATTTTAACTATAGAATGAGTAATTTTGTTTTTAGATACCATGTTTCTCTTCCTGTTGGTCCCAAGCAGTGGTTCTAAAAGGATTAACCAGCTCGTTTAAAAACTACAGCTTACATAAAATAGTCATATTAATGATTGACAGTTTTAAGACTCAGCAGAATTCAAAATATGAAAATTTATTTTGCATAGGAAACAATTTCTGGTAAACATCATTACTGCATATAACAAAACAATGTCTTCAATTAAAAGGGGAAAGTGAGTTTTTAAACATTAATTTAGAAGAAAATACAGTATATAATAATCTTATGTTTAGGGTAAAAAAATACCATAATGTGAGTAAAATCCATAAGAATTGGGCAGAACCTACCTAACAACACCCATTACTGTATATGTTTTCAATAGACAAAACTTATTTTGTACCAAATTCCAACAGTGGTAATTCTATGGTTGTGGCCCTTTAAAAAATGGCAGCATCAGGCTGAGCGCCGTGGCTCACCGCCTGTAATCCCAGCACTTTGGGAGCTCAAGGCAGGCGGATCACGAGGTCAGGAGTTCAAGACCAGTCTAACCAACATGTTGAAACCCCATCTCTACAAAAAAATACAAAAATTAGCTGGGCGTGGTGACAGGTACCTGTAATCCCAGCTACTCAGGAGGCTGAGGCAGGAGAATCGCTTGAACCCAGGAGGCGGCGGCTGCAGTGAGCCAAGATCGCACCACTGCATTCCAACCTGGACAACAAGAGCAAGACTCTTATCCAAAAAAAAAAAAAAAATGGCAGCATTGTACTTGAATCGGAAAGCTTATTGGGATTTCCTCAGTAGATATTACAGCGAATCCTCATACCTTTTGTTAGGAATTATTTAAGGCCACAGTGCGAAGTTGAAGGACTATTTTGGTATACAAACTCAAGCCAGTTACATTTATGCCTTGGTATCCTTGCTAGAGCGCATGCAGGTGTAATATGGTAATATAGAAAACAAGGCCATCCTGTTGTATCTACGTTAAAAATTAAACATCAGTCCCAGAGAGTGAACCCTAGTCATTTATTATAGGTGTCCACCTCTGACTTGGAAAAAATGCCACTCCATTCATGTTCATTTTTGTCATGGAGAGGATTTATTTCCTAAAAGATTCTGAAAGCCAAAAACATCGATGTAGTTAAGTTCTTTGTAGAGAACTTTATCATGACTTCAAGAGTAAGAGTCAAAATGGCCTTGAATTGGGCTTCCTGGATGACTTCCAACAGTCACCGGCCTCAACACTGCCGATGGCTGGGCGCTACCATAACCTAATGAAGTGAGGAAGGAGGAGGGGTCGGGATTGTTGTACTTAAATGGCTCTTTCAAGCCTAAAAAAGTCTTTGGCTTCAAAGAGTCTAAACTGATTTACTAAATTTATAAAAGACCTTAATTTAGCAAAGAGCTGCTTTTTCCTTTGGTTCAGTTACTCGGCATCCACAGTGTAAAGGAATTAATGTGTCCATCATTCAGCCTTCATGGCGGTTTTCCGGTAGCGAAGTACTGTCACTGTTACCCATATATTTAAAGCCAGCATGATCACAAAACGTATAAGAACTGAAATCAATTTAAAAAGTATATTAAAAACCTTCACAATATAGAGCTAAACTACCTCCTGCTCTAAGTATAAGCCTAAATAAAGCTTCACCCCCAACCCCCAAAATGAACAATTTTGGTTCCTGGGGAAATGATCTTCCTATCATAATGACTAATTTTGGCCACTTGCCCTGACATCATAAATCATAATTTATCCTCTTAAGTGCTCAATTGAAGGGTTATGACTTTTTTGGGGGGGGAGAGATAGAGTCTTGCTCTGTCACTGTGTCACCCAGGCTGTAGTGCAGTGGTGTGACCTCAGCTCACTGCAACCTCTACCTTCTGGGCTCAAGCGATTCTCCTGTCTCGGTCTCCCAGGCAACTGGAATTACAGGCACCCACCACCACGCCTGGCTAATTTTTGTATTTTTAGTAGAGATGGGGTTTCACCATGTTGGCTGGGCTAGTCTCAAACTCCTGATCGCAAGTGATCCACCCACCTTGGCCTCCCAAAGTGCCGGGATTACAGACATGAGCCACTGCACCCAGCCTATGAAGGGTTCTAACTTTTAAAAATCCCTTTACTCATTTGAAGTCCTGAGGTGCTGGTGTCTCAGAACATTCCATGTTAAGCAAAGGTGGTTTAATATGTTCTGTTAAGATAATTCTGAAAAAATTGGCCCAAATGACAAGACATACTTTATATTGAAGTAACCATAAAAATGTGTCTCTTTGTGGAAAAATAAAATATATATATACATATAACTTTAACAGTGACTCAACTTCCACTTTAAGGTACAGATACACTCCTGATAAATAAGGTTTAATGAGATTTAAAATATATCTTTGTGTTTGTAAAACACATGTAAGATTTTAGCTAAACTGTTCTTAAAAAGTTATTCCTTGGCCGATGCAGTGGCTAACACCTGTAATCCCAGCACTTTGGGAGGCCAAGGCGATCAGGAGTTCGAGACCAGACTGGCCAACGTGGTGAAACCCCGTTTCTACTAAAAATAAAAAAATTAGCCAGGCATAGTAGTGCATGCCTGTAGTCCCAGCGACGCTGGAGGCGAGGCAAAAGAATCGCTTGAACCCAGGAGGCAGAGGCTGCAGTGAGCCGAGATCGCACCACTGCACTCCGGCCTGGTTGACAGCGAGATTCCATCTCAAAAAAACAAAAAAGTTATCCCAGATATACTGATCACTTTCAAGAACAGCTGTCATAGGTAAGAAATAAATCGCAATTAGAACAATCTTGATCTTTTAAACTTAATTTCTAATGTATAGGTTTTGTTGTTTACTTGTGGTTTGACTCTCCTTTCCACGCTAATTCAAGCCCTGTAGAAAGACCCAAGCCTGTCTTCCTTCCCATTTCCCACTTGATCAAAGTTTATGCTTTGACCAGAACAATTTTAGTCCTACCATCAGAGCTGACAAAAAGTATCTGAGCAAAGGTATAACCTCCAGGAAGAGATGACAAACATATCTCTGTTCTGAAGCAGTATTTCTCAAATAATAATTAGCTCATTTAAAAGGTCTACGTGCTGGGGACATTTTCTGATCTTCACAGTTCACACCATCTGTTCTAATCATTTCCAAAGATGTATCATATATGCTTGATTCGGGGGTTGAAAACAGCCTAAGGAATTACTAAATTCTTTGTGGTTAATCAAAGTATTTCCTCTTCCATCACAGCTTTTCCTTTTAAAGAAACAGAACAAGAACATAGTCCGCTGGTGACACCACTTCCCTGCTTCAAAGCCTCCGCAGGCTTCCCGCTGTTTGTAGGCGGTTCTTGTAGGCCCTGGATACCTGGGCCACTGCCAGCCTCACATCCTTCCTCTCCTGAAACTTACCCGCTTCTCGCTGTCCCCCTGCTCTCCGCACTCTAGCCCTTTGTCCTTTGCTCATGACCTTCACACACTGCTCCTTGTAAGAGTCTGGCCTCCCCTGCCTCCCCGTCCCCCACAACCTTTCTGGCTAAACCTCTTCTCATCCTTACGATCGCTCTTCTTCAAATTAATCTGCCCAGCTCCCTCAAACTAGGCCAGGTTCTCCTTAGATGCTCATCCTGCCCTACTCTTCCAAAACATGGCCCCTGATAATTCAATAGGGAATTGTGTGATTACCTCATGTCCAATTCCACTGCTTAAATGGAAGCTTCATGGAGACAGGAATCTATTATCTTGTGCATATTCTATTCCCTGTACTATAAGAGAGCTTAATAATAAAAATGGTGACCAGTAAGACTAGAAATACATTGTTGTCATCTTCTAAATCCATAATCCAGTAGAGCCAAGTCCATCCATTAAACCTGAAGACAGTTTACTAATGAAGGAGGCATACGTACCACAAAACTCAAAAAGGAAGTGAGAAGAAGATCTTTGGCTTACTTGTAAAATCATTGGTGGTCATTAAGGTTGTGATTATTCTTGCTGTAAAAGAAAATTTGCAGCATAAATAACTTGCCTCTCGGACATTTTGGGGTTTAATAATGTCCTTCCCTTTTAGTATCCCAATATGTAGAGGCTATTATTTTCTAATTATTTTTATTCTTTTTTTTTTTTTTTTACCAATACATATTAACTATTCTTGATAAAAGTTTGGTAGTGCAGAAAACCAAATAGTGCTGTATTTCATAACTATATAAAACCCAGAAATGCCAGATCACCTGAGGTCAGGAGTTTGAGACCACCTTGGCCAACATGGTAAAACCCTGTATCCACTAAAAGTACAAAAATTAGCCATGTGTAGTGGCAGGCACCTGTAATCTCAGCTACTTGGGAGGTTACAGCGAGCTGAGATTACACCAATGCACTCCAGCCTGGGTGACAGAGCCAGACTCCATTCCAAAACAAAACAAACAGCCATGCATCCCATCCCAGTGGTTTTAAAACTACTCGTAAGGGAAGGTACTTTGACAGTGCATGCGCGCTGCCCGGGGAAACCTGGAAAGGCTGAGCTCCCTTCTACTGTCTGTGCTAACCCGCAACCCCCCACCCTCCAAAAGCAAGTCTAACAATTCTTATTTACAAATGGAGGGTCTGGGTAGTTTTAAAGAAAGGCTCCCACTAATTAAAAACAATGTTTTCAGATCAGTGAATTATATATCCTTGCGTTTTATAGATAAGGAAAGTGAGGGCCAGAAAAGGGGAAGATTTTTCCAAGGGTCTAACTAGAACTATTTTGTTTAGTTCACTGGTGTGGTATAGCCCTTCACTTAGGAAACATTTAGGAAACTGGAGTAACAGTTTAAACCAAAATACGAAAGCAGAGAGCAGCACGATTTGGGAGTTAGAGAAGACCACTGCCCGCAACTCAAGGCGTGCCTCTCCTGGCCCAGAGCCAGCCCATCAAAGCCTCTCTCTCCGCTGGCACATTCTGCTTTCAGCACATATTGACATCGTAGTTTTTTGGTCTTAATCTTCCAACTAAACTGCAAGCCCCTGAAGGGCAGAGACCAAATCCTATAAAATGTTTTGTTGACACATTTGATAAACCAAGGCTTTACACACAGACACCTCCATATAAATAGTTGTTGATTAAATCATCAATTTAAATCGAAGAAAACGATCATATAAGTAGACAGAAGACTTCAGTTAGGAAAGTGGCCAACAAGGACTCTCAAGCAAACTTTTTAAAAGACTGTTAATAACCACACATCTGGTAAGGGTTAATGACCAAAACATGTAAGAAGCTCAAACAAATAATCTGATTAAAAGATGGGCAAAGGGCCAGGCACGGTGGCTCACACCTGTAATCCTAGCACTTTGGGCGGCCGAGGCGGGCGGATCACTAGAAGTCAGGAGTTGGAGACCAGCCTGCACAGCATGGTGAAACCCCATCTCTACAAAAAATACAAAAATTAGCCAGGCATGGTGGCAGGCGACTGTAATCCCAGCCACTCAGGAGGCTGAGGCAGGCGAACCACTTGAAACCAGAAGGCAGGGGTTGCAGTGAGCCAAGATTACGCCACTGCACTCCAGCCAGGCAGAAGAGCAAAGACTCCATCTAAAAAAACCTGAGGTCAAGAGTTAAAGACTAGCCTGGCCAACATGGTGAAACCTTATCTCTACCAAAAATACAAAAAAAAAAAAGTTATCTAGGCATGGTGATGCATGCCTGTAGTCCCAGCTATTCAGGGAGGCTGAGGCAGGAGAACCACTTGAACTCAGGAAGTGGAGGTTGCAGTGAGCCAAGATCACCCCACTGTCCCGCAGCCTGAGTGACAGAGGGAGATTTAATCTCAAAAAAAAAAAAAAATGAGCAAACAATCTGAATAGACATTTCTCCAAAAAAGACATACAGAGCCAGGTGCAGTGGCTCACACCTGTAATCCCAACACTTTGGGAGGCTGAGGTGGGATGAACACCTGAGCCCAGTAGTTTGAGACCAGCCTGGCCAACATAGTGAGAACCCGTCTCTAAAAAAAGTTGGCTGGGTGCAGTGGCTCACACCTGTAATTCCAGTACTTTGGGAGGCCAAGGCAGGTGGATCACTTGAGGTCAGGAGTTCAAGACCAGCTTGGCCAACATGGTGAAAACCCATCTCTACTAAAAATACACAAATTAGCCAGGCATGATGTATGACTATAATCCCAGCTACTCTGAATTATAAAAATGTTTCTACCTACATATACCATATACGTATTTTAGGTAGTTTTTGTAAGAATCCAAATGAACACAGAAAATCCTAAAGCTGAGACCAAACAACATGACTGCCAAAAATCTCCACTGCTGCACATTCTATTCATTCTCAAAAGTCACTGTATGATTTTCACCTTTTAAAACTTGTTATATCATAAAGATTCAAATTTTTAAGATAAACTAATACATTCAATATACAACCTCTTGATAAATTTCAAAGAAGAGAGAACTATTAATATCAGGCCAGATTTTTGGAGAAAAATATGCTTTCACTTTTTTTGGCAACTTAGATCTTACAGAAAATGGAGAGCAGTGTGCATTAAGTCGTCTTTGTAAATATGGATACACTTAGGAGGTTCTAGCTGAATAGCTATAAGTGCCAGGGACCACGTCACTTCAACACCAACTTAACACCCCACTAGGCAGACACGTGCTGCCCGAGGCCTCCCCACCGTCTGAGTCCAGGTCTTACTTGCACAGGTGTAGGAGGAGAGGCTCCAAGTCAGCGCACTCACCGCTCCCGAGTCTCTCGTCTTCCACAGACAATGGAGCTGCGCAAACTTACTGGCCGCGCTGATGAAAGTACAGAAATTCTGTTTGCAGATAAAATGTGAGAAAGTCACAAGTCTATGGGTTAAACAAGCAAAACAGCACCAGATACTCGAAGCACTTTCGAAGCCAAATTTTCAGGTCAAAATTATAATAGATTTGTGCAAAGTTGAAACCTAAGTTTGTACAAATAGTGAGCGTCTCTGTCACCCCAGGCTGGAGTGCAATGGCGTGAATCTCAGCTCACTGCAACCTCAGCCTCCCAGGTTCAGCAATTCTCCTGTCTCAGCCTCCCGAGTAGCTGGGATTACAGGCATGCACCGCCATGCCCAACTAATTTTTGTATTTTTTGTAGAGACAGGGTTTCATTATGTTGGCCACACTGGTCTCAAACTCCTGGCCTCCTGATCCACCTGCCTTGGCCTCCTAAAGTGCTGGGATTACGGGCATAAGCTACCACACCGAGCCTAAGACATTGATTTATAACTCATGGATTCCACCGTGCATTGGGTAACTAACACCTAGGGCTAGTTTGAAGTTAGGAATGAGAAAGAATCAATGCATGGCCACAGAGCTTCATCTATCCACATCTCCGATAAAAAGTAACTGAGGCCGGGCTCATGCCTGTAATCCTAACACTTTGGGAGGCCAAGGCAGGAGGATCACTTGAGGCCAGGAGTTCAAAACCAGCCTGGCCAACATGGTAAGGCCCCATCTCTACAAAAAATACAAAAAGTAGCCAGGCATGGTGGCATGCACCTGTGGCCCCAGCTACTCAGGAGGCTGAGGCAGAAGAATCATTTGAACCCAGAAGACAGAGGCTGCAGTCAGCTGAGATCACACCACTGCACTCCAGCCTGGGCAACAGGGTGAGACTCTGTCTCTAAATAAAAAAAAGGGAGGAGGGAATTATGCAGAAGGGAATGGCAGGGGACAAAGGAGATGACCAGGGACCTGTGGTCAGGCCTGTGGCAGGACTAAGGTCACCCTGGGAGCAGATGGCTTGGAGGATGGCCGACCCCTGGCAGGGAGACCTGGACAGAGCAGAGGAGTGAGGACTGCAGGGGAAGACTCGCACCAGAGAATTCACCAGGACACCAGCTTGCTGGGGTGGCAAGGAGTCGGTGTGGGGATGGGAGAGCGGGGGAAGTCGGCTTTGTTCACACACATCAGGGCCCTAGACCACATCACGACATGCTTGTGCTGCACACGAGCTTGCCTCCTAGATCTTCTACCAGATTCATCTTTCAGGAGCAAAGCCACATTTCCAGTCCTGAAGTTGTGTTGGTTTGGGCCCTAACTGAGCCCTGGAATGACTTATCACATCAATTAAACTGGGAACGATTAGGATTTTCTGTAAAACAGAGTCAACTATAGGAACAGGATTGGGAAAGAGAGGGGATGCTTCACTGCTCTGGAGATCATTTTTAAGTACTTTAATCTTTTTTTGCGAATAAACCATGAGTATATGAATTACCAATTTAACCATGAAAGCACACTTTGGGACTTCTGGGGACACGATCTTGGGTACCTGCATTTGAAAGCAAAAACATGGAACATTCTACAATGGAGGATTTCCACTGATTCAAGCAGCACCCACTCTCTCTAGGATTCTGGGGGTTTGCTACAATGTGTGAGCTCTGAAGGCCTGGCTTTTTCTCCTGCACTGGGGCTCTGCGCCCCTCCTATCTGGGCCACCTTGTGCCCCGGGCCCTGGCACCTCAGAGCCGGTGTGCAAAGAACACTCACTGAGTCAGTGAAGGAGGGCTATGGGCAGACACAGTGCCAAGCTTGTGTTCAGACTTGCATGATAAAGGAAAGAATCAAAATTATACTTCATGAAATAATATATCATCAATGTGTGGTTAGAATAGACTACTACTGCCAAGGGCACAGAAGAAACACCAAAAAGCTGTTGTTGCCCTTGACCCCTGAACTTCATTCTCTTTCTCGTTTTGCTTTTGAGACATAGTTTTACTGTGTCACCCAGGCTGGAGCGCAATGGTGTGATCTTGACTTCCTGCAACCTCTACCTACGGGTTCAAGTGATTCTCCTGCCTCAGCCTCCCAAGTAGCTGGGACTACAGGCATGCGCCACCACACCTGGCTAATTTTTGTATTTTTAGTAGAGACAGGGTCTCACCATGTTAGCCAGGCTGGTCTCAAATTCCGGAACTCAGGTGATCTGCCTGCCTCGGCCTCCCGAAGTGCTGGGATCACAGGCGTGAGCCACCATGCCCGGCCATTCTTGACAAGCCTATACCTCAACATTGCTGGAAGGATGGTTCCTGAGGGGTGAAGGTTCACAGGTGCTATAGCAGAGCTAATCACCCCCAAACTAGAACCACCCCAACTCAATCAGGAGTAGGAGCTACTGAGAACATAGAGATGGCTCATTTACAGGGTTGTGAGATTTGGCAAATAAAAATACAGGACGCCTAGTTAAATTTGAATTTCACATAAACAACAAATAATGTTTTAGTACAAGTATGTCCCATGCAATATTTTGTTTGTTTATTTGTTTTTTGAGATGGAGTCTTGCTCTGTCACCCAGACTAGAGTGCAGTGGGGTGATCTCGGCTCACTGCAACCTCCACCTCCTGGGTTCAAGTGATTCTCCTGCCCAAACCTCCCAAGTAGGTGGGATTACAGGTGCCCGCTACCATGCCCAGCTAATTTTGTATTTTCTTTTGGTAGAGAATGGGGTTTCACCATATTGGCCAGGCTAGTCTTGAACTCCTGGCCTCAGGTGCTCCGCCTGCCTCAGCCTCCCAAGGTACGTGAGCCACTATGCCTGGCACCATGCAATATTGTGGACATACTTGTACTGAAAAAGTGTTCCTTGTTAATATGGCAACCCTTATTTGCTCTCCGAAATCACAGGGTTGAAATGTAACAGAGAATCTACTCCACTTTCCAAGACAGGATCACAGACAAGATACTGGGGGAAAAGGGAAAGAAATTCATGAGTCTGGGTGTGGCAGGCAGAGCCCTGTGACCACCAGTTAGTTCTCCTCCTCCTTTTCTGGTTGGTGGAAACGTTCACTTCTGTCACCTTGGAGAGATCTGTGGTTAAACACATCCTGAACCACCCTCAGAACCCCTTGGAAATTTCTGGCTGAAGTATGAAAAAATAATTAGCCTTCCTCCCGGACAAGGCCAACATGCAATTAAGAACCTAAGAAGAAGCTCTTTAACTGATGTTTAATTCTTTATTTTAAAACTGTTAGCAGCCAGGTGCTGTGGCTCACACCTGGAATCTCAGCACTTTGGGAGGTTCGGGCAGGTGGATCACCTGAGGTCAGGAGTTTGAGACCAGCCTGACCAACATGGCAAAGCCCTATCTCTACTAAAAATACAAAAATTAGCTGGGCATGGTGGTGGCACATGCTTGTAATCCTTGCTACTCAGGAGGCTGAGGCAGGGGAATCACTTGAATACAGGAGGCAGAGGCTGCGGTGAGCCAAGATTGTGCCATTGCACTCCAGCCTGGGCAACAGAGCAAGACTCTGTCTCAAAAATAAATAAATAAGGCCAGGTGCGGTGGTTCACACCTGTATTCACAGCACTTTGGGAGGCTGAGTAGGGCAGATCACCTGAAGTTGGGAGTTCGAGACCAGCCTGACCAACATGGAGAAACCCTGTCTCTACTAAAAATACAAAATTAGCCAGGCATGGTGGTGCATGCCTGTAATCCTAGCTACTCAGTAGTCTGAAGCAGGAGAATCGCTTGACAGAACCCAGGAGACGGAGGTTGCGGGGAGCTGAGATTGTGACACTGCTCTCCAGCCTGGGCAACAAGAGCAAGACTCCATCTCAAAAAAATATAAAACAAAATAAAATAATAAATAAATAAATAGATAAACTATTAGCCACCTCTCCAATCTGGTTCTCTATGGCCCAACAAAAGGAAGTTAAACATTGTTTTGTCCAGCATTTAAATAAGAAGAATGTCTTTTAATATTTGGACAGCACTTCACTTTCATTCCCATTATCCCCCAGCATGGCTGAAAAATTAGCAGGTTAAACATTTCATCGATCAAGTTCTCTCCAAGGTAGCTTATTCCCCCTCCTTTCTTTTTAAGCACAATCCTTACCATGGCCAGGTCTATGATCCACTTCTGCAGGGCGAGGACGAACCAAGAAGACCCCAATCTTACCAAGTGCTAAGGGACACAGCAGTGGGTGGCCAACATCCCCGCCACCCTCCCATCTCAGGGACACACACCAAGACCACAGAGAGCCACACACGGAAGCCAGAGGGGAGCAGGGGACGCACCGCCAGAACCTGCCAGATTTGGAGGGACAAAAAGAGTTGTAAGTGAACACCTGCTCGGAGTTCAAAAGAACGAAAGCAAGACACCCATGCTCATGGACTGCTCCCTAGGATTGGGACATTCCTAGTGGTTTTCACTGCCCACTGAATTCCTGATCATGCGGACATCTCCGATTTATGGTTAAAAGCTAAGCACTTAAGGCTGGGCGTCGTGGCTCACGCCTGTAATCCAAGCACTTTGGAGGCCAAGGCGGGCAGATCACCTGAGGTCGGGAGTTCAAGACCAGCCTGACCAACATGGTGAAACCCCGTCCTAAAAAAAAAAAAAAAGCTAAGCACTTAAAAGAGAAGTTGGGCCAGATGTGGTAGCTCACACCTGTAATCCCAGCACTTTGGGAGGCCAAGGCAGGTGGATAACAAGGTCAAGAGATCAAGACCAACCTGGCCAACATGGTGAAACACCGTCTCTACTGAAAATACAAAAATTAGCTGGGCATGGTGGTGGGCACCTGTAATCCCAGCGACTGGGGAGGTTGAGGCAGGAGAATCGCTTGATTCTGGGAGGCAGAGGTTGCGGTGAGCCGAGATCGCGCCACTGCACTCCAGCCTGGGAAACGAGAGTGAAACTTCATCTCAAATAAATAGATAAATAAATAAAAAGAGAAGTCCAACATTATAAAGCAGGAATGTTCTGCAAAATTTGTGTGATGTGAATTTCTGTTTACTGATTTCCACTTTTCCCACTAACTCCATTGTAAAGATGATATAGCTGGTGTGGGCAACGTCAGGAGTCAGGATGTGCCCGGAGCTCTGTGATGCCACAGAAACAGGGCACAGCTAGGGAGCCGAACAAGCAGCCAGGAGACAGCCGGGGCCGGACGGGGATGACCAGGAGTCTCTGGAGTGTCCTTGGGCAAGTCACTTGCCATCTTTCCACTTTGATTTTTTATCTGTAAAATGAAGTCAACATTCCTTACCCTATCTACCTCTCAAATGCCTACAGAGACTGCTGTTATTATCATTTAAAACAGTAATTAAATAAAGATATTGAAACAGACAATGCCCTGTGCTAAAAGTCCGTGGAACTCAATACTCATAGCCTGCTCAACACCAGAAGATAGTTTGAAGCTAGCTGGATGGAATCCTGTTTTTAAAACACTAACTCAATTTTTTTTTTGAGATGGAGTTTCGCTCTTATTGCCCAGGCTAGAGTGCAATGGTGCCACGTCAGCTCACGGCAACCTCCGCCTCCTGGGTTCAAGCAATTCTCCTGCCTCAGCCTTCCAAGTGGCTGGGATTACAGGTATGCGCCACCACACCCGGCTAATTTTTGCATTTTTAGTAGAGACAGGGTTTCTCCATGTTGGTCAGGCTGGTCTCGAACTCCCGACCTCAGAAGATCCACCCGCCTAGGCCTCCCAAAGTGCTGGGATTACAGGCGTGAACCACTGTGCACAGCCACTAACACAATTTTTAAAACTAACTTTTGTGATTCCTCCCCCAACCAATTCTGTTCTATCCCACCTCATTCTGTGTATTCTGAATATACATTTTATAAAATTTGACCAATAGTAGGAGCCCCTGAGATCCTACAGACAATTTATTTGTAGGATTGCCAGTTTTCACAAATAAAAAATACAGGACACCCAGTTAAATCTGAATTTCAGGTGGAAAACAAATGACTTTTTCCAAGTAGCCGGGATGACAGGTGTGAGGCACCATGCTTGGCTCAGTTTCTTTCCTTCTTTTTTTTGTAGCACTGGGGAATCCCACTACATTACCCACGCTAGTCTCAAACTCCTGGCCTCGAACGATCCTCCCATTTCAACCACCCAACAGGCGGGATTATAGGCATGAGCCATTGCATCTGGCCAACAATTTTCAGTAAACGTATATTCCATGCAATATTGGTGACACACTTATATTTAAAAGTATTCATTAATATGGCAACCCAATTCTTTTGCTCTCTGTAAATCACATCCAATGGGAGATTATAAGCATCTTGCTGATATTACAGAATCGCCATCGGCATCCAGCTACGTGCTCATCTCCCGGTGCCACCAGCGCCCACATTTTCTTATCTGCAGTCTCGCCATTTGCACAAAGCTGTGGCATTTTATTTCAAAAGTAAATCATATCATGCTTTCCATCTTCAAAGCACTGTTTACCAAAACCTTTAACCAGCTGGCACCGATGGTGAAGTGTTGAGGTGCAGTATAGCTATGCAATCCCTCTTTCTGCAGAGAGAAACTGAGGCAGCAGAACTTACCACTCGGGGAAACAGCAGAGGGTCAGGACTCAGCCAGAACCCAGCCCCCTCCAGAGACAAAGGCTGCAGAGCTCCCCTTCTAGTAAATCACCACCATGACCCTGTCATTCCTCAGCTTGACTGTGTTCCTGGTACTTCTAGCTCTCCCAACGTCCCTAAAATGTAGACATTAGGTTCCCATGCCACAGATGGGGGACATGCAGCATAGTTTGTGGCATATGCTGAAGCCACCCCTGCTGTGGTGGGGACCTGTCCCGCCTGACTCCAGCCCAGGTGTTCCCCTCACACCACACCCACATTCTCATGGCCTGCACTGAGGTCACTTGGGCCACAGGCCTGGCTCTGCCCTCCGTCCTCCACTCTGAAGAAGGCATGGGAAGAAACAGCTCAAGCCATTTCATGGATGTGGCAGGACAGGCTGACAGCTACTGCCATTCAAAACGCTTTGTTGGGCCGGGAGCGGCCGTTCATGCCTGTAATCCCAGCACTTTGGGAGGCCTAGGCAGGAAGACCATCTGAGGTGGGGAGTTCAAGACCAGCCTGACCAACATGGAGAAACCCCATCCCTACTAAAAATATAAAAATTAGCTGGGTGTGGTGGTGCATGCCTGTAATCCCAGCTACTCAGGAGGCTGAGGCAGGATAATCACTTGAACCCAAGGCAGCAGAGGTTGTGGTGAACTGAGATCACGCCACTGCACTCCAGCCAAGAGCAAAACTCCGTCTCAAAAAAAAAAAAAAAAAAAAAAAAAAAAAAAAAAAAAAAAAAAAAAGGTTAAAACATCTTACAGCCTGGCATAGTGAGACCTCATATCTACAAAAAATGTTTAAAACTAACTGGGCATGGTGGCACACTCTGATAGTCCAAGCTACTCGGGAGGCTGAGGCAGGAGGATTGCTTGATCAAGGCAATCAAGCTTGACCAAGGAGGTCAAGGCTGCAGTGAGCTTTGATGGCACCACTGCAATCCAGCCTGGGCCACAAAGTGAGACCACCTGGAAAAAAAAAAAAAAAAACACTTCTCCTGGCTTTTTAAGGAGTGTGATGTTCAACTGGTGAGTCTTTACAAAGAGAACTGAAATGAAGCCAAGAAATGCCACTGAGTGGACACACGTGTCAGCTGACCCGGCTTCCACCGACCGCCGCTCAGACCTCCAGGCTCAGCCTCTAAGCTAACATCTTGAGAAGCACCAGACACTCTCATTATTATTGCTTCCCATCCTTGGGGGACATTATCAGGGCAGGAAGAAACGTCTCAGATGAACTAACGCAGCTGGACAATGCTGCTCTTAGCAGGGATGGACTCTACCATTCTGACCGCACTTAGCAGGAATGGACTCTACCATTCTGCACACCCAGCAGGGAGATCCAGGCTGCCTTCCACCGGGCCTGCTGGCACTGCCCAGGGCATGCTGATCTTGGAGGGGCAGCAGGGGCTCTACTGAGGGCATCTCTAGTGTGCGTGGACACATTTGCATTTGGGATTTTTTTTTTTTTTTAGTTTAATCAAAAAATATTCATCTGGTAAAGGAGCCCACTTGATAGTACACACTATTTGCAAATACCCTCGTTCTCACTTTTGGTTCAGATTCAGAAAGGATACACGGCGACGTAGGGCGTGGCCTGCTTCACGTTCCCGTTAAAATGAAAGATACAGAGCAGGAGGATGACATCTGAGAGAGAGAGGCTCCGAGTGAGGGAGGCAGGGGAGACCCGCAGCAGCCCATCGGACAGGGAAGGGGCTGTTACCTTGTGCGATGAGGATGGGGTACTCCAGGTAGGTCAGTGGCGGATACCCATAGTAACACTGGTAGCGGAGAAACACCAGGAACCTGGAGAAAGGAGGGCACAGGTCCACACGGCTGCCCCAAAATGCAGCCGTTGGGGCCTGGCAGGCACCCGGAACACAGGTCAGTTTGCTGAATCCTCGCAGTGGTGGTGTGGACTCCCCAGTGTTAAAGAAGGCAGTTTAGAACAAAATAGACGGAATTCAGCTGAATCATCTATACAATTTTTGGAGCATCCAGAACTTACCGGGTACCGGGCCACTGTCTGTCCAGTGCCTTGAGATGGTCTCTTACAAAGGATTTTTACAGAAGGCAAATCCCTGAGCAGGGAATATGAGACTGGGCCTTCTAGGCCCACACTTGCTGGCCTGCCTGCCACGCTGGGTGCTCACTGACCCCGGCAGCTGCCCCTTAGCTGCTGCACACATCTGCCCTCCACCCTGAGAAGCTGAGAGGCTCGAGGATCCGAGGGGCTGCAGCTATCCCTGGACAGGAGTCTGTGGCCATGTTTTAAGAGTTAGAACAGCACATGGATACTCCAGTTGCCTTCCAGAAGAGCTGCCCTGTTGAGAGCGCAGTGTGGAAAAGCATGAAGAACCACCCTCAATGTCTCTAAGAAGATTCCAGCTCTGTGTGGATGCTGGGAAGTCCCAAGGGTCCCACCTTCTCAGAAGAAAAGGCAGAGCTTCCTGCCTCCCTGGCTCACACCCAGCCGTCTCCTCCCTCAGGACCGGAATCCCCATAGTCGTCTAGGCCTGCCTGCTTGTCCCAACACCCTGCCTCTCACCTGTGTGTTCAGACCACTCGGGAAAGGAAGAAAAGGGAGCCGGAGCCATGAGACTTCAATGCACAGGAGGGGGGGCCCCGGGTCTCCGGATCTGCTAAGCTGGGAAGGAACCTGGAAAAGCCCCATTCACAGTCTACGCCTCCCTGGCCTGTTTCTGACAGTGCACAACTTAGCAGGGAGCAGAGTTGGAGGAGGTCATAGGACATAGGACGGGAGGCCAGAGCCCAGTGTTGCCTTGAGCACGAGGGCCTCCCGCAGGCCTGGTCCTCAATTAGAGGCCCCCAGCATGCCCAGCAGTGTTCCCACCCCTGGCTGCTTTGCAGCTGGGCCACCTCCCAGCTTCAGGGACAAGCAGCACCTCTGCCCAGCCCAGCCGGGCTGCAGGGACTCCCCTCCTGCCAGCCTCCTGAGCAGCCCTCTGTTCCCCTGTGAGAGTAAGCCCAGGGGGACTAGCAGAGAGGGAGGCTGCACCCCAGCCATGGGGTGCTGAAGGAATGCGCCAGAACAAAGGCTATGGGGGTCTTCACCACTGAACTGTGTGCCCACCCCTAGGATGCAGCCACAGTCCGCAGGCCAGGAATGAGAATCTGGGAATGTCAGAGCCCGTTCTCACCTCCAGGGGTCATCCATGCTGGCTTCCACATCTCACAGACCACTTGGGGAAATGGAGGCCAAAGACACCAAGAACATACGAGATGAAGAGCCTGGACTTCCTAACGCCGACCTAGACGCAGCCGTCACCGCCCCTGCAGGCTCTGTCCTCTGTTCCCTGCTTTCCCTGGGACTCAAACTCCCCGCTGCCCCTGCAGCCTGAGGAAGTGTGGGCAGTGTCTTTAGTTTTTAATTTTTTTTTTAGATGGACTCTTGCTCTGTCGCCCAGGCTGGAGTGCAGTGGGGTAATTTCAGCTCACTGCCACCTCTGCCTCCCAGCTTCAATTGATTCTCCTGCCTCAGCCTCCCGAGTAGCTGAGACTACAGGTGTGCGCCACCACGCCTGGCTAATTTTTGTATTTTTAGTAGAGATGGGGTTTCACCATGTTAGCCAGGCTGGTCTTGAACTCCTGACCTCAGGTGATCTGCCCACCTCAACCTCCCAAAGTGCTGGGATTACAGGCATGAGTCACCATGCCTGGCCCTTTAAAGTTTCTTTTAATTAATAAGTAATCGCTAAAATGCTCATCATAATAAAATCATGCTAGCCGGGCATCTGACACAGCCCCATTTGCTTCCATTCCCATCTGCTCCACTGGAGTTTCCTCCCTCAACACCTGCTAGAGGGTTAAACAAAATATACCCCACCCACGCTAGGGAGCAAGTGACCTGGAGCAAGGGGTGGGGTCCAAAAGGCACCCTACCCAGAGGCCAAGGCTCCTATAGCCTAAGGGGCTGCCGGGGGGGAGGGCCACTGTCCATGGAAGGCTGCAGAAAGGGCAGGTTCGATGGGTCCTGTCCTCCAGGACGCTCCAGGCTGCAGAGAGCAGAGGGAAGCAGAGCCCAGCAGAGCCCTGGAGGCAGGGCAGGAGGCCACCAGCAAGGCTGAGAAGCGGGAAGGTTGGGAACCAGGGGAGGGGAAGGCCCAGCCATAAGAATTGCCCCTAGGTGGCAGGGGCAGGTCCCTGGGCAAAGGCTCCTGCCCTTGACACCAAGCCACACTAAAAAGCTCCAATGGACTCAATGCTCTCAAAAACAGGCTCTTAGTTTGCTCAAATGGAGCCCCAAGAGGGCCCGTGCCCTCCAGGCAGCTGACTGTGACAGCCTGGGCTTCCTTCGCTCTAATGCTCTAACTCTCGTGGCTGCCTCTGTCTGGTCAGGGGCCCGGGGCTTGGCTGGCAGGCCTGGTTCCCTGGGGAATGGGGCCAGCCCCTTAACCACCCCAGCCCCAGGTAGGCTTCCCAGGCAAGGCTGGGAAGGGCATGAGGGAGGCAGGCAGGGAGACTGGAGGGCCAGGACCCTGCTGGGCTGCCCAGCCTGCTGCTGCCACAGGCTCCTTACCACCCTAACTCGGGCTCCCATCGTCTGGGGACAAAAACAACCTCCTAAGGCCGCTGTGAGGATTAAATGAAACTATAATTCATGATAGTTTATACAATGCACAGAGTCAACACGCAGAATGCTCAGGCAATGACAACCATTAGAATCACATGCTGGTGGTGTGGATACCAAATCTATTGGCACTCAGCAAGGGTGGAGCCCTGATCCCTTCCAGCCGGCCTTCCGGGAGAGGCTGACACTGCGGCTCACCCTGCACAGCCAAGCCCGTTCACAGAAGTGTGCCTGGCCCTGGCTTGAGGGCTGCAGAGCTGGTGCACCAGCCCTGACAGAGCCCCCTTTCCCTGCTTGTGATCAACAGCACGCCCCTCAGACAGGCCGGGAGGGATGGCAGCAAGCCACTACCCCACCCCCACCTTGGGCTCCCCTGCCCAGGAAGACCTGTCCACTGCCAGAGGTTGGGCTTTCACCAAGGTGAGCTGAGAGGTGACAGCTGACAGATCTAATATGAGCCCTCACCTGCGTGTCCCCTCTGAGGGTTTGCATTTTTCAAGCAGTGGTGCAAAGGTGGTGGAAAAGCAGGCCCAGGAGCCCATGGCAGGAGGGACTCTATAGCCTGGCTGGCTTCTTTCCCTTCGTGGGTCCAGCTTCAGCCTCCCCAGCTCAGGGACCTAGCAAGGGGCTGAGGCCAAAACCCACTCCTGGCTTTCATGCCCTTGACCCCTCTCCTACCTGAGTGGTCACAGAGGCCACTTCCAGTCTGTGTCCTTTGCCACAACCTCATCCCTCTGGCCTCTCTGCTCCCAGCCTGGTGGTGGCACCAACTTGAAACACATACTGCCCCCATCCCCTGGGTGCCTCTGAACCCTGCCATCCAGCCTGGGACACCCCCTCTACCCTCTTCCTGCAGGGTAAAGTCACTCACAAGCCTGGGAGGTGTCACAGCCCCTCGCACTGCAAGCCTTTCCCAAAAGTTTCCCCTGAAGACCCTGCATTGGACGACTGTGCCCAGGGACCAACTCCATCGGGCCCGCGTGGGCTCCAGAGCTTGGGTGGGACCCCTCACCCTCCCACCTCTGAGGTCTTCTCTTTCTCTCCCGCACCACTTGGCTTCTTCCCATCCTGTATTCCCGGACACCACCACCCCGCCCACCCCGCTCCAGGAAGGCTTGTGTGTGGAGGACCAGCCTTTGGACCCGCTGAGTGATGGTGGGGAGCAAAGTCGAGAGCCAGGCTTGGCCAGGGGGAAGGGGCAAGACCACTAGTTTCAGGTATGTGTTTTCCTATTGTTGGGTCTCAGAAAATGATACCCCAAAAGTCTGGTGCTCTCACATGCTGAATATTTTGAATAGGAAGGCCTTAGAAGCTGCCTGAGAATCAAGGACTTACTGACCTCTCCGTCACCCATTCCCAACTGCAGGGACTCTGCAACACCCTTACAGATGAGTAATGAAAGGTCTTTCTACAAGAAATGCAGTTGTCTTAAGACCCACTCCCAAGGAATCTCATCAAATAGCCAGGAAGATTCCCCACCAACCACTGGGAGAGAAGATTCATCCATTCTTAGTTCAACCCCTTATTTCACAGGTGAGGAAACTGAGGCCCGAGAAAGAGGCTGACGGAGCGTGGTGAGTTTAGGGAAAATAAATATGACAGCCTGGAGGTGCAAATGGCCTCGCTCAGGGCCGGCAGGTTTTGTCACTACCGGACCGAGGGCGGCCTCTGCTGGGTCTGTTTTCTCATCTGTAAAATGGGCATGCGCAGTCAATCCGTGCCACGAGAGTCTTGGTGAGAAACGATGACCGCGGGCGGCCTGGAAGGCGCACCCCGAGCCCACAGGCTCCCTGGTTCACCCTCGGCCGCCCGGCTGCCACGCCCGCGCGTCCCCGCCCTACTTCAAGCCGAGGCTCTCCCGGGCTCCCAGCAGGCGGCAGTGCGAGGGGGAAGGAGGCAGCCTCGGCCGCCCCGGGCCTTACCCCGCCAGCTCCAGAAGTAAACTCGGGAGGCTGAGGCCCCGCGCGCTGCGCGCCGCCAGCACCGCGGAGATCTGCGGCAGCTTCAGCGCGGCGCACACGCCCAGCGTGCTCCAGTTGCACAGCCCCAGCAGCGCCGCCTCCATCGCGCCGGGCGCGGGCACGGGGGCGCCGGAGCGGGAAGCCACCGCTCAGCCCCGGCGGCACGGCTCTGCCTCAGCCTTCCGCCTTCCAGGGACCCGCCGGGGACCGCCCGGTCAGGCCAGCCCCGCCCCGCCGTGCCCAGGGACCGCCTCGCTTCGGCCCCGGCTTCCCTCACCTCCGGGCCCGCCTAGCCCCGACCCTCCCCTAGACTCACCCCGCCCCCTGGGCCGCCTCTCCCAACCCGTCCGGGCTCGCCCCTTCCGGTTGACTTCACCTAGCCCAGTCCTCCAGCCAACCTACTCCGCCCAGACCCTCCTCGCTCCGCCCCCTGGCCAGCCTCGCCCCACCCCACCCCTCCTCGCCCCGCCCCCTGACCAACCTCGCCCCGCCCCCGGGCCGCAGCCCCACCTTGGCCTGCGGGCTCCGCCAGCCGCTGCTTTGCTTTTCCGCGTTCCTGCGATCTGAGAATTTAGATGCTGCCGGGAGCCGCCCTGGCAGCCCCGCTTTCCCACCGATAGGGTGGGCAGAGAGGCAAACAGACGGCCCACAGGGGGATGGACCATTCTGTCGGGATTTTTCGCTCCTACAAATGTTTTAGTTTCTCTCACTAAGCATATCAGGAATTAAAGTTTGCAGGGCACTGAACGCCCGCCTAAGGTCTGAGTGCACCCTCCGGGTTTTACAGGCGGAGACCTGGGCCGGAGAGGCTCGACGGGACCAAAGCTCCCGGGTGGCCCCATTCGTGCAGTTTCAGAGCGCCTGGCCTGTCTGCAGCCTGGGACAGAAGGCTTCCCTTCGGAGGGCGTGAGCCCTGGACCGGAGGGGCTCCCAGAAGCCTTGCATTTGAGCACTTCACAGTGAAACTGTTTCTTAGGGATTTATCCTGATAAAAGAAAGTAACTTGGACGTGGCCGTCTAAGGCACAAACTGAGGGAAAGGGAAAGGACGCATTTTCCAACCTCGGAAAATGGCCTGTGTATTAGGGTATGAAGCAGGAAAAAAATCACCAAATACATGCCAGAATCCACAATCGCTGGTTTTGTGCCGTAAACTTCAGCCGGGAAGGCTGAGGGACGGGAGCTGGGTCAGCTTCGCAGTTTGGAGTTCTGGCCAAGGCTCTTTCTCTTCAGCCTCACCAGCCCATCACCTCCGCCTATGGAAAAAAAGCCAGGTGCTGAGTCCTGCCTCCCAAGTCTAAATGAGAACAGGATGTTCAGAAGGGAACCCTTAAAGGAAATTGGACTTGGGCCTGTCCTGGCTACATTGATAATGATCATTGCCCCGTGAAGCGGAAAGATTGCTTAAGTCCAGGAGTTCAAGACCAGCCTGGACAACATGGGAAAACCCCACCTCTACTAAAAATACAAAAATTAGCCGGGCGTGGTGTTGCGTGCCTGTGATCCCGGCTACTCGGGAGGCTGAGGCAGGAGGATGGCTTGAACCTAGGCGGTGGAGGTTTGTAGTGAATTGAGATCACGCCACTGCACTCCAGCCTGGACGACAGAGCCAGACCCTGTCTCAAAAATAAATAAATAAATAATATATATTAAAAATATACATTTTTTGAAGAAGAAAATAGGGAAGTAAAGAGCTTTTCTACAAGCATCAGCAGCGTGCCAGATGTTTTACTTTCATCGTGTCATGTGACACATCCCTTGAAGCAAGCAGGTGGTCCTGGTTGGAAGTGCCTGGTCCCCGCCACATGGCAGTGGGACTTCCTCTTCCCCCTCTGCCCCAGGCTTGGACTCTGTTTATTCCAGGGGATGGCCAGGATCTGGGCCCCCAGGACTAGTGTTAGCAGGGAGCTGCTCCCACCTGTCCTGGGAGCCCAAGCTGCTCTAGCATTTGGGGATGCAGGCAGCATGAGGGGCCTTTGAGGGGTCTGAGTGCTCCCAGGACCACGCAGGGAGTGGTCTCCTCCATTGTGGAACAAATGCTGTTCCTGGCCCAGGACACGGCATCCACCTGCTCTGGGGGTCAGCTATCTGAGGCAGGTCTGTGGAAGAGGATTTCTTCCTGACTCACAGAGCCCTCCCTGGCTACTCTGCATGAAGACCAGGATGGGGTGATGTGGGCGTGTGGCCCTTGGGGGTTAGGCAGACCTCAGCTGTCCTCCCAGCATTGGCCCCTACAGACTGCATGAGCTTAGACAGACCTTAACTTCCCTGTCCCTCGGTGTCATTTTTAAAAGGGGAGAACTTTCCCCCTCAGAAGGTTATTGAGAGGCACAGAATAAGTGCCCAATGTGTCATTCCCCACCAGGTGCAAACCAGCAAAGGCTTTTTGGGATTTGTGGGCACTAGCTTTGCTCCTGAGGCTGTGTGGGGTTGGGGGCGGTCCAGATGGATCCAGGGTTGGGCCAAGCAGGAATGCGTTTGGGTCTCAGCCCCCATGCCCAGCTGGGACATCTCAAGAGCATGCCAGCTGTTCTGCTCAGAGGATGGCCTCAAAACAGCTGAACTGCAAGGCTCCTCTGTCCCTTCAGGAGGTTGGGGAGGGTCTGGGTGGGTGGTATCTACTCACTGCGATATCTCTCCAGCACAAGACAGGTCCCCCATGTTAGAGACCTCTGCCTCCTCCCCAGCTCAACATGGCAACCCTGGTCACAGTCCGTTACAGGAACCTAACCCCACTCCTGGGCCTCGGCTGCACAGAGTGAATCAGCGCCCTGACTGAAGCTGGCTAAGGAGTCTCCTTGAAACCGCCTTTGCAAAAATTATAGCTGGGGAAATTATGACAGTGAAAGAGGTCAGACCTAACTGACTCCATCTTGCTTCTAACATTTAAGCTGTCCTTGTCCCTTTCTGGGCACAGGCCAAACCAACCTTGGGAAGGAATTTAGCTTATAGTTTGACTCTGAAACAAAATTGATAATAGCCCTTTCCTGAAAAGAGACTTGTCTGCCTTTGTAGGACTAATAAATTAGCTACAAGATTAGAAATTTTGGTTTAGGGTCACACAGTCTCTGGCTGCAAGAGTCTGAGCCTTCCCAAATTGCTCCTGGGGATCACATCACTATTGTAAAACCTGAGATCTGTGCTTGTTATATTTTGCAGACCCTGTACTGGATGGATCAGTTGACACCACCCAGACCAGTCATCTGGCTCAGTCAGCTTTGCAATCCCACTCAGTAACAGAAGACAGCAAGAACACTTCACTTGAACCCCACTATGATTCCATCTCCATCCTGACCAATCAGCACTCCCCACTTCCCAAGCCCCTACTGGCCAAATTATCTTTAAAAACTTCCATCCACAGGCTGGGCGCGGTGGTTCACAACTGTAATCCCAGGACTTTGGTAGAGCAAGCGGGGGTGGATCATGAGTTCAGGAGTTCGAGACCAGCATGGTCAACATGGCAAAACCCGTCTCTACTAGAAATACAAAAAATTAGCCGGGCATGGTAGCGAGTGCTTGTAATCCCAGCTACTCGGGAGCCTGAGGGAGGAGAATCACCTGAATCCCAGAGGCGGAGGTTGCAGTGAGCTGAGATTGTGCCACTGCACTTTAGCCTGGGTGACAGAGAGAGACTCCATCTCAAACACAACAACAACAAAAGAAACCAGCTCAGGGAGACTGATTTGAGGAATAATTAAACTCTGGTCTCCCGCATGGCCAGCTCTGTGTGAATTACTCTTCATTGCAATTCCCCTGTTTTGATAAATCAGCTCCAACTAGGCAATGGGCAAGGTGAGCCCTTTAGGTGGTTACACCTTCACGTGGGGATGTGGAATTGAGCAGTAATTGATTCCATACCTTCCCCACTCCCTCCCCCCACTGTCTTCAACAAAGGAGATGTGAACTCAAGAGCCTTTGGTGGTGGCAGTAAACCCAAAGTATCTGAAACAAGTCTCAACCAATTTAAAAGTTTATTTTGCCAAGGAGGTCCTGGCGACATGTGCCCAAGGTGGTTGAGGTACAGCTTGGTTTTATAGACTTTAGGGAGACATGAGACATCGATTAATATATGTAAGATATACTTTGGTTCCATCCAGTAAGGCAGGACAACTCCAGGATAGGTAGATGAGAGGCAATAGATTGCATTCCTTTTTTTTTTTTTTTTTTTTTTTGGTTTTGTCTTTTTTTTTTTTTTTTTTTTTTTTTTTTTTTTGGAGATGGCATCTCTCTCTGTCGCCCAGACTGGAGTACAGTGGAGCCATCTCGGCTCACTGCAACCTCCACCTCCCAGGTTCAAGCGATTCTCCTGCCTCAGCCTCCTGAGTAGCTGGGATTACAGGCACGTGCCACCATGCCTGGCTAATTTTTATATTTTTAGTAGAGATGGGGTTTCATCATGTTGGTCAGGCTGGTCTCAAATGCCTGACCTCGTAATCTACCCGCCTCGGCCTCCCAAAGTGCTGGGATTACAGGCATGAGCCACTGTGCCCAGCCACGTTGCAATCCTTTGAGTCCTTGATCAGCCTTTCAGCGAATACACAATCTAGTCTGGCTCAGTGAGTATGCATTTTTACATAAACAATAGGGCTGAGGAAGCAATTAGACAAGCATTTCGGGTGAGCAGAGGAATGACTTTCTGTCCTGCACCTATTAAAATCAGCTATCATTTTACACTGCCAGGGTGAAAGTCAACAGAACTGTTTCAGGGTAAAGTTTTTTTTTTTTTGGCCGGGCGCAGTGGCTCACACCTGTAATCCCAGGACTTTGGGAGGCCGAGGCGGGTAGATTACGAGGTCAAGAGATTGAAACTATCCTGGCCAACATGGGGAAACCCCCTGTCTACTAAAAAATACAAAAATTAGCTGGGCGTGGTGGCACATGCCTGTAGTCCCAACTACTCAGGAGGCTGAGGCAGGAGAATTGCTTGAACCCGGGAGGTGGAGTTTACAGTGAGCCGAGATTGTGCCACTGCACTCTAGCTTGGCGCCTGGCGACAGCAAGACTGTCTCAAAAAAAAAAAAAAGAAAGAAAAGTTTTTTTTGTTTGTTTTAAATTCTTGGCATGATCCTGAATAGGGCAAAGATCTTGAGGCCCACAAGGAATTTCCTTCGGGAAATTGTGAGGGAGGCATGTAGCCCTCTTATCTTTACAGCCATCTTATTCAGGAATTAAAATGGGAGGCAGGATCCCCACGTGACTTTTCCGTTAGGTTAGTGATTTTGGAGTCTTGAGATTTATTTTTCTTTCACAGTGGCCATTCTCCCACCTTCATTTTTTAAAAAAATTCTTAAACCACCAGACACGGCGGCTCACACCTGTAATCCCAGCACTTTAAGAGGCTAACGCTGGTGGATCACCTGAGGCCGAGAGTAGACCAGCCTGGCCAACATGGTGAAACTCTGTCTCTGCAAAAATACAAAAATTAGCTGGGTATGGTGGCGAGTGCCTGTAATCCCAGCTGCTCTTGAGGCTGAGACAGAAGAATCACTTGAAACAGGGAGGCAAAGACTGCAGTGAGCTGAGATTGCACCACTGCATGCCAGCCTGGGCAACAGAGCAAGACTCTGTCTCAAAAAAAAAAAAAACCCTAAACTGATAGAAAGGTTTCAAAAACAGTACCGTGAACACCCATGTACTCTTCACCTACACGAATCAGTTGTTGACAGTTTTATCTCACTTGTTTTCTCGGTCCCTATTTACACCCCACGCAAATTGTTTGTTAAGCCACTTGCAAGTTTGTTATATACATCACAGCACTTTTCAGCAAACACCTCCTAAGAACAAGGGCCTTCTTCAGCAGAGCCTCAATGGAATCACCACACTCTGCACTTTCGCGATGATACATTTAGTCTGCAAAGTGTCCTTTAGAGTTTTTTGTTTGTTTGTTTGTTTTTTGAGACAGAGCCTCGCTCTGTCACCCAGGCTGGAGTGCAGTGGCACGATCTAGGCTCGCCACAACCTCCGCCTCCCAGATTCAAGCAATTCTCCTGCCTCAGCCTCCTGAGTGGCTGGTCCTATAGGCGCCCACCACCATGCCCAGCTAATTTTTGTATATTTAGTAAAGAGGGGTTTCACCATTTTGGCCAGGCTGGTCTTGAACTCCTGACCTCGTGATCTACCCGTCTTGACCTCCCAAAGAGCTGGGGTTATAGGTCTGAGTCACCACACCTGACCTAGAGCTCTTTTGCTTTGACCCAGGAGCCAGTCAAGGATCAGGGGCTGAATCACTTCCCCAGCCTTCCTTTGTCTTTTATGACATTGACTTTTTTTTTTTCCCGAGACAGGGTCTCATTCTGTCGTCCAGGCTGGAGGGCAGTGGCGAGATCACAGCTCACTGTAACCTTGACTTCCTGGGCTTAGGTGATTCTACCACGTCAACCTCCCAAGCAGCTGGGGTGGCAGGCATGCATCACCACACCTGGCTAATTTTTTGTATTTTTAGTAGAGACATGGTTTTAGCACATTGTACAGGCTGGTCTCGAACCCCTGAGCTCGAGCAATCCACCCACCTTAGCCTCCCAAAGTGCTGGCATTACAGGCATGAGTCACCATGCCCAGTAGGCATGGATGTTCTTGAAGAATCGAGGCCAACTCTTTTTTTTTTTTTTTTTTGAGACAGAGTTTCACTCTTGTTACCCAGGCTGGAGTGCAATGGCGCGATCTCGGCTCACCGCAACCTCCGCCTCCTGGGTTCAGGCAACTCTCCTGCCTCAACCTGAGTAGCTGGGATTACAGTCATGCGCCACAATGCCCAGCTAATGTTTTGTAGTTTTAGCAGAGACGGGGTTTCACCATGTTGACCAGGATGGTCTCAATCTCTTGACCTTATGATCCACCTGCCTCGGCCTCCCAAAGTGCTGGGATTACAGGCTTGAGCCACTGCGCCCGGCAAGGCCAACTCTTTGGCAGAATGCTTCTCAATTTGAGTTTGCCCAGAGCTTCTTCCTGATTATACTTTGGTTACTTTCTTTTTTTTTGGCAGGAGTGCTTCCTAGGCGAGTGGTCCTCGATGAACCACACCAGGAGGAGCCTGGAGTCAGCTGCTCTATTATTGATGAGGTCTGGACTGATAGTTTGGTTAAGGCAGTATCTTCCAGATTTCAGCATTTACCGTTCCTTAAGAATCTTTCACTCAATCATCTTAGTGTCTTTTATTGATTCTTGCCTAAATCAAGAATGAATTTTCTGTACTCTGCAATGACATGTCATTATGCCAAACCCCACCTCACAACACTACTGTGATCACTGTGGGTCATTCAATGGTGATTTTTCTGTTATTGTTTATTCTGCATTCTTCAACAAAAAAGAGTTTTCGTTAGAACTTAAAATTTCATAAAAATCTATTGGTATGAACTAATGGATTCTTTGTTATTATTATTATTTTTGAGACTGAGTCTCACTCTATCGCCAGGCTGGAGTGCAGTGGCGTGATCCTGACTCACTGCAATTTCCATTTTCCAGTTTCAAGCAATTCTCCTGCCTCAGCCTCCTGAATAGCTGGGACTACAGGCACGTACCACCACGCCCGGCTAATTTTTTTGTATTTTTAGTAGAGACAGGGTTTCACCATGTTAGCCAGGACGGTCTCGATCTCTTGACCTTGTGATCCACCCGCCTCGGCCTCCCAAAGTGCTGGGATTACAGGCGTGAGCCACCGCGCCCGGCCTGTTATTATTATTAATGTTATTTGGTGGGGCTTGTGGGCACTGGCTGGGAGGATCATGGGCCTGATTGGGGGGCTATTACGATTCTTCATTTTGATGCTCATGTTGTCCCAAATTTAGGTTGGTCCTTTATTCCTTTTCCATATCCTCATTTTTTAATTTTCCTTAGCTTCTGGCACAGGAAGTTGCTCCAGGCGCATCTTGTACTTCTGTGGATGGAGGTCATTTTTTGTCACCTGGAAGCAGAGACGCTGGTTCTGCTACAGACAGGAGAGAGAAGCAGAGGTGCTCAGAGGAGCAGCAATTAAAAGTGAAACAAGTATCCCTCCAGGCTCGCTATGGCTCTCAGCTCCTGATTCCAGCCTTTGCACGAAGCCCTGCTGCCTCCTGGCCCTTGGTCTCCAAGTACCCATCTTTTTATAGGTAATGCCCCCTTTTCCTTTTGCTGGTGCTGACCCTGCAGACTTGGTGCCCTCTTCTTCACCACCTCCTGGCCCATCTACCCTCCTGTGTTATGGCCCAATGAGGTGAGAGGCTGGCATTGGGATTTCACTGCAGATGCCTCTCTGTCCTGTTTCCTGGGCTCCCAGTGAGTGAGACAGGGAAGGTTAGAAGCAGGCATCTTCTTGAAAGGAAGGCAGATGTGGCAAGGAGCAGAGGGTGGTTGGGGCTGGTTGTGAGGAGGGGTTCGGCATGAGACAGGTCATTGCAGAGTATAGAAAGCAGTTCTGCTTGCGGAAGCCCTCAGTGTGCTTGCATGGTTCGGTTGGAGCCTGGCGCGCTAGTGATGTGCCATGAGAAAAACATGCCCAGGAGGCTTTCGGTCCAAGAGAACAAGAGACATGCACAGAAGACTTCACTAGCCTGAAGTGAGGAGCCAAGTCTAGCCAAGCCCAGACCTGTGACCAAGGATGGGGGTGTTTTGTTACACAGCATTGTCACAGCTGACTAATGCACTCTGTAAAAGAACCCAAGCCCCTTTGTTCTTCAGTACTCCCTGAATACTCAAAGAAGGGAATCCTGGAGCTGGAGATGCCCTTAAATCTGTCTCCTTCTCTCCTCCCCCTGTTTTATAACTGGGGAGGCTGAGGTCTGGAGGGGGGAAGACAGCATGGAGAAGTCACACATGAGATGGGTCCTGGTCTTCACTAGTTATGTGACCCTGACCAGATTGTGTGAAGGCTTTGGCTTAGTTTCTAAACTTCTCAAATGGTGACAATTATAATATGTGCAAAAGACACAATGTGGGTAATGTGCCAAGCCCAGAGTCTGTTCCTATAGGCTGCATCGTCTGTAAGTGGCTGTGCTTCTAGGAGAGGCGGAACCAGCACAGGTCCCTGGCTCTCCTCACCACCCTCCAGGCCGCTCAGTGATTCCCTCCCCTCTGCACAGGCCTGACCACCTGCAGCCACCCTTAACCTTGACTTTTCTTGTACCTCTCTCTCCCTCAGATGGAAATCTGTCTTTATTTTGAGTGTGAAAATAATATAAGGCAGGCTTATCGCAAAAACGCAGACTGGGTCTTTAAGGAGCGTCCAGCATCTTTGTACCCGCCCAGCCCAAGGGCAAGCACTCGACCTTCAAAGGATGCTGCCAGGATGCAACCAGGATCCCTGGCCATCCTGGCCACTGACCTTTGCCCAGATGGCAATCTCAGAGTGGAAAGGAACCCAGCTTCCGTCTCAGACACTGAGAAAGAAGGCAGTGGCCTCCAGATCCAAGTAGGAAGGATGTGCCTTGTTGGCCTACCTGAGTCTCTTCCTGGCCGAGTCACATTGGGCCTGGTCGGCTCCATCACACACTCGCACAGGGCCAGGGTGTGGCATGAAGCACAGGGGCTGAGTGTGGCATGGAAATAGCCTGTCCTGTGTAACTCCTGGTAACATCGATGCCTATTCTTGGTGGTAGCAGGGATCCCAGGGATTGGAAAAATCAATTTTCCCTTTCTCAAGGATCAAGTCACTTTCTTAAGCAGAAAAATCCTATGATTTGCTAAATTCTGGGGAATCAATTTATTGAGGATTAAAGGGGACCCATATGGCATAGTGCTTAAGTATACAGTTTTCGGAGTCAGACTCAACTGCCGAGTCTGAACCTCAGCTTCACCATTTGCCAGCTGTGTGACCTTGTCCAAGTGATTTAACCTCTCTGTGCTTTAGTTGCTTTATCATAGGAGGATCTATCTCAAAGGGCAGCTGAGAGGATTAAATGAGTTAATACATGCAAATAACTGACGTTTAGCTACTGCCGAATAAGACCCAAGCAAGCATCAAAGACAGACCAGTCATTTCAGCCCCTGCCCCATTTTCCTCTCATTTCAGGAGGCCACGACTGGGGTCCCACAGAGGACACTGGGCTTCAAGCTTGAGGCCTGGGATTCATGTATGTTTGGAATTTTATTTCACCTCTCCGGATCTCAGGTTTTGCTTGTGTTAAATGAATATGAAATCCGTGCCTATTTATTCCCTTGGGTTGTTGAGCAGGTGCATTTAAAATGCTTTACCCTAGAGATGTGGACTATTGTTTTGGCTTTGGCCAGTTTTTGTTTATTTGTATGTTTGTTTCCCTGAACACAAAAGGCATTTGTTTACTCCTCTGCCAGCCCAATGGGGGTGTAGGGAGGTTCTGCTCCACGAGCTCACTCAGGGCTCCAGGCTTGGGCCTGCTGCACTCCTCCATCCTGTGCCCCTCCCTTCCCCACATCCTCCAAGTCCTCTCCCTTCTTCAGCTGATGGGGAAAAGAGAACAAGCCAATACCTGGAGTGTCTCATGGACCAGGTCTGGAAGGGAGACCTAGGGTTTTTGCTCCCACTCCACTGGCCATGGCTCTGTCACATGCTCCACCCAAACCAAGGGAAAACACAGCCTAGCATAGTGCCCAGAAGAAGAGGAGAATGCGGATGTTTGAAAGAATGAATCCATTTGTATTTTAACCAACAAAGAGGAACTAAGCCTTTTCTGCATTTTTTGCTTAAATATGAAGGTTGTGATGTAATCACAAGGGTCCTGAAAAGATGGAGGAGTGAAGCCAGATGCCTGTAATCCCAGTTCTTTGGAAGGCCAAGGTGGGAGTATCATTTGAGCCCAAAAGTTCAAGACCAGCCAGGGCAACATAGTGAGACACCCATCTCTACATAAAATTTTAAAAATTAGCCAGGCATGGTGGCATATGCCTGTATTCCTAGCTACTTGGGAAGCTGAGGTGGGAAGATTGTTTGAGCCTGGGAGTGTGAGGCTGCAGTGAGTTATAATCATGCCACTGTCCTCCAGCCTTGGTGACAGAGTAAGACACTGTCTGAAAAAAAGAAAGAGAGAGGGAGGGAAAGAAAGAAGAAAAAAGAAAGAGGGAGGGAGAGCAAAGATGAAGGAGTGAGGCAGGAGAGAGAGAGAATGATGAGACTGGATTTGAAGATGCTAGAATGCTGGCTTTGAAGACAGAGTAAGGAGCTGCTCAGGATTGCAGGCTGCCTTGAGAAACTGGAAAAAAATGTGGAAATAGATTCTTCTCCAGGTCCTCCTAAAAGAGCACAGCTCTGCAACATGTCGATTTTGGCCCGGTGACACCATGTCGGAGTTGTGATCTTCAGAGCTGTCAGATGATACATTTGTGTTGTTTTAAGCTACATAGTTTGTGGTCACTGGTCACAGCAGCTGCAAGGAGTGAACACACCGTATCACAGGAGAGGAGACGGAGGAACAGCAGCAGCTGTTGCAGGAGGCAGCTCCAGGTTCCACAGCTCATCAGAGTCATGAGCTGGACTTGAACCGAGGCATTTGGTGCCCCTGACCGCAATGCAGGGTCCCTTTCGTGGGGCACCCAGGGGTTCCCGAGCTGGAAGGGCTGGGGGTTGTATGGCCGTGGACCGGTTACTGAGTCCTCTGAATCTCACATGTAAAAAGTGAGTAAGAGCGACCCCGTGGAGCCCTCTGGAAGGGTGTCCTGCAACTTAGAGACAGTGCAGCCCCAAGCTGCCTTGTGTGGGGAGCTGACTGGTGCTGTCGTGGGCCGGGTCTCTGGTCCCCACCCACGCCCACCTGAGGAAGGCCAGCCAGCCCTCCTTGCTCCTAGATGGGCTGCATCTCGTCCTCCAGCTTCTTCTTCCGGACCCCTTCTGTGAAGAAGAAGTCCATGTGGATGAGGCTCTGTCCCAGGGGCGTGTCCAGCCTGCTGCCCACAACCCGGTTAGTGGAACTGGGAACTGTATCCGAAAAGAGAGGCACATGGTCTGGCAACTTTTCAGGCTCCTTCTTATTGCCCTGAGAAGAGGGGACAGCTCAGGTCACACAAAGCTTCAAAAAAGGAGGACCATAGGATGGGAGAGGACCACGCAGAGAGCAGGTGCCACTCTGTGTGAAGCGTCTCCAGGCGATTCAGTCCTGGTTTGAACTTGGGACCCTGCAAGAGTGACTCGCCACGGCCTCTGCCAAGCTTGCCCTCTTCTTCCTCCCCTCCCCCTCCCCAGGTGCCTCCCAGATCCCTTAGCTTTTATGCTGCAACCTGCAGAGATCAAGGGAAGGATCAGATCTTATTCCCCTTTCCATCCTCATGACTAAGACACTGCTTTACATCTGGTGGGAGGTTTCGATTTGTTGTTGTTGTTGTTGTTTTGTAGATTTGTTCTCAGAGTACAACATTCGCATGGAAAAGTGCGCAGGTCATCACTGTCCAGTTTGACAAATGTTCACAAAGATGCCCACGTGCCCAACCAGATCAAGGGATATGATCACCCCGCCCCCACCTCCTTTCAGCCCCTCAGCCACTGTCTCTGCTTCCAAGGCAACCTGATCCTGACCTGTAATGCCATGCATTAGTTTTGCCTGGCTTTGAACTCCACATTAGTGGAATCATGGCTCTTCTGTCTGGCTTCTTTCTCTCAACATTATGTTTGTGAGATTCATTCACATTTTGTGTGTGATTGCTGTCCATTTATTCTCAGTGCTGTATGTTACTCCATGGTGGGAACTGTGTGAATATCCCACAAGTTATTCACCTGTATCACCACTGATCACTATTGGGTTGACTCTAGTTTGGAGCTCTTATGGGTAGTGCCGTTCTGGGCATATGTGAACATGCCTTTGGGTGAACTCTATAATGGATGCGTGCATGAAATAATGAGTAAATGTAATCCAATGTCCAGGCACCGTGGCTCATGCCTTTAATCCCAGCACTTTGAGAAACCTAGATGGAAAGATTCAGACCAGCCTGGGCAACATGGTGAGACCCCATCTCTACAAAAATTACAAAATTAGTTGGGTGTGGTGGCGCATGTGTGTAGCCCAGCTACTCAGGAGGCTGAGGTGAGAGGATCACTTGAGCCCAGGAGGTTGAGGCTGCAGTGAGCCATGATCATGCTACTGCACTCCAGCCTGGGCAACAGAGTGAGACCATGTCCATCAATCTATCTATCTATCTGTCTGTCTGTCTGTCTATCTATCTATCTATCTATCATCTATCTATCTATCTATCAAGTGAGAAAACATCCTCAGCTCTTCCTGCCCCTGCTTAGGGGTACGTTTCTGCTACCCTGTGTCTAATAGAAGTGACATGACCTGTCAGGTAAGGAGATCCTGGCTGTTACCTGGCAAAGTGCATGCCGAGGTGGCTCCACCCTTTGGCCATGATGCAGGTGTCAGTAGTCAGGTTGCTATCACATAGCCCCTAGCAGGGAGAGACTCTTACAGGCTGGAAGCCCAGACAAGATGCCCAGGACAGGATATCAGGTCCCATGAGCTGAATTTTCCCTCCAGAATAGATAGCAATAAGCCCAGCAGGTCCACGGTGCGGGCATTAAACCTTTCCTCAACCTGGCAAGGTCCATATCAGCACGGCCACCCCAGTGAGTGACTTTCCACATTGCTCATCTTCCAGGTTGGTTCTTTGGCCATGCAATGGCGGGATCTCGGCTCACCGCAATCTCCGCCTCCCGGGTTCAAGTGATTCCCCTACCTCAGCCTCCTGAATAGCTGGGATTACAGGCATGCACCGCCATGCCTGGTTAATTTTTGTATTTTTAGTAGAGACACGGTTTCTTCATGTTGGTTAGGCTGGTCGCTAACTCCAGACCTCAGGTGATCTGCTCACCTCGGCCGCCCAAAATGCTAGGATTATAGGCATAAGCCACTATGACCATCTTTTTTATAGTGAGATCTATCTTTCCATTCACTCATTCATCCAGCATGAACTGAATGTTCACACTGTTATGGTCTCTGGGGGATGGGGCAAATGCTAGGGCTGCGGTAGGGTGCAGTGATGAATTCATATTCATCTTTTCTCTTTTTAAAAATATTTGTCATTTTTGTAGAGATGGGGTCTCCCTATGTTGCCCAGGCTGGTCTTGAACTCATGGGCCCAAGTGATCCTCCCACCTCTGCCTCCCCAAGTGCTGGGATTACATGCATGGGCGACAACTCCTGGCTTCATCCGTTCTTTTAAGGAGTTCAGAGCTGGTGAAATTGGGCATTGCAGTATTATATTACATGCAGTACCGAAATAACAGGTGAGATACGCTGGTGAATCAAAGGAAGGAGTGATCTGATCAAGCCCGCCCAGGAAGGGAGATTCCCCAGAAGAGGGGCACTAGAGCTGGGTCTTGAAGAGTGAATAGGAGCCCATCAGGCTGACCAGGTGGGAAGGACATCAGCAGGGGATGCGCATGCCCAAAGGCATGGATGAAAGTGTGTTGTGGGGCCTGGGTGCAGTGGTTTATGCCTATAATCCCAGCACTTTGGGAGGCCAAGGCAGTTGGATCATTTGAGGTCAGGAGTTCGAGACCAGCCTGGCTAACATGGTGAAACCCCGTCTCTACTAAAAATACAAAAATTAGCCAGGCATGGTGGAGTGCACCTATAATCTCAGCTTGGGGGGCTGAGGCAGGAGAATCTCTAGAATCCAGGAGGTGGAGGTTGCAGTGAGCCAAAATTGTACCACTGCACTTCAGCCTGGATGACAGAGCAAGACTCCATCTCAAAAAA